GAGAGAGAGAATCGCATCCCGAACATGTCTGCATTGTTGCTTATAGTCGTCAGAAGACTCTGCATTTTGTCAGCGTCTTCACCGAATAAAACTATGTCGTCGGCGTATTCTAAGTCAACAAGTGAATCTCCCGGTAAAAGTTCAACTCCTGGACAAACTCTTGGTATTTACTACTTGAAAATCGTGAATCAGAGAACGCAAGAAAGAATAAGAAAACAGTTAGATGAGGATTTATTTAATATCGAAAATAAGTCGAAAATTAATATCTGAATACATTAATTGCTATATGGTTTACATTGATCAACAGTTAGATTTGTATATATTAGCTGTATAAACATAAAATTAACCGTCTACAACCAACATGACTACCTCTTTAAATGTGTTTAATGTCATTAATGATTGAATAAAAAGAAATCAATATCATAATTCACTGACTCTTAAATCAATTAGATCTTTGTTCATAATATCAGTTAAGCGTGTCAAAGTATGATAAGTGAAGTAATTATATTTTATCAGATCTGTCAACGATCTTCATTCTCGTTGAAAATGTATGACACTTATATTGGATCTTTGATAAGCAATCGTCAATGTAAAATCCTTAGTTAATCAATAATTCGATCTCTCCCAAATTATGAAAATCTTGAGTGAAGAACTCTCAGAGATCTTTGGAGATCAGTAAAGGCTGTATTTTTAAAGCGAAGAGCCACATTTATGTTATAACGAACACTACATCAAATAACGTGATTCGCTGGAAAATCACTGCAGTACGCTTATATCAAAAGAATTATCAGTGAAACCGATAACAAACCTCGATACCTATTGACTGTCAGCATAGGTCGATCAATTTCATAAAGTCATTCAGTAGCAATATATATTAATTGTAAGATACAATTAGGAATTTGGAAGATCTACACATCTAGTTCATACAATTCTACTTCATTTTTCCAATTATGAACGGTAGGTTAACAGGTGGATTTTGATTCTATTCGTAAATAATACAGTCGTTTTTACTCAAGTTGAACAGTGTCTAGCAGTGGTATCCACAACACCTATTTCGTCCTCGTCGAGACTCGTCAGCTGAACGCACATACATCCTAGGGTCAACGTTCACACTGGATCTTGAACTTAATACCTTTTGCTTTAAACACTGACGTAATATCTACTGAACTAGTGAATCCAGATATCCACTCCGGTCAGAGTGCACATAACCAAATAGATACAGATTAGTTGAAGTCATTAGTATCAACAAAGAGTAAAACAATTAAAGTTTGTAATTAACACTACATTTAATTAAAACAACAATCTACACACTATGAATAGCAGCATATTTCGTCGGTATGGTGCATATGACACTAAACTGTCAGAGAAATAGTTCATATTAATTTGTACTGATTGTTTTTTTTTCGTTTTCACACATTAATATTTCTACTAATGGTTTCGCTTAGTTACTTCTTTTTTCTTCAATCGATGTTCTTGTTTAAAGCTATATCAATTGACTATATACGGCCTTGAATCATCAACTCATAGAAAACAATGAAAATGATGATCCTACCGTTTAAGAGTGTATAAAATGATTATCTTCTTAAAGTGTTAAATCAAGTAGATTTTCTTTTATTTATGATACTATCACTTAGTTGAGAAACGATCTTCACAACAAACTAACTTACATTACTGATATAAAAAATTGAAACTAGCCTAGAATAAACCTTTTTTTTCTTCAATTTAACCTTAGTTAATATAAAATTTTGAAAAACTTTAGACTAATTCCTTCCCTTTCCTTGAAATGCAATCTTGACTACTAATAAATTCTGAATTAAGTAGTAAATGAATGAGATATTATGCCTATAATAAAACTTGAAATTTTCGGATTCAGTATGTGATTGAAAAGTTTTGCATTCAGAATGAAATAAGGTAAAACATGAGAAGAGTTTGATCAACCCTCGAGCCACTATAGATACGTGTATAACGAAGATATACACAAAAAAACTCAACCAATTAAGTATAAAAATAGTCATCAGTAAAGAGACAATCAATTAAGTTTGCATGCAGTCCCTAAAAATCTGAATTTATTTTACTCATTATTGCAATCAGTAAATATCCCACAAGTTAAAACGATCGAACTCACAACAGTGACATTGCAAAGAGTAAAAATACAAATGAAGGGTAAAAACGATTTAAGGCATATATATAGTTAGCTGCTTAATGACAAAATTAAAAGTTAGTTTCCCTCTAAAGTTCATATCAGCTGCAGGATTATTAAACACTCAGGAGGACTGAATAAGTATGTCATCCTAGCCTAGCAATTCTCAACAATATAACACTCACAATCGAAAATATGATTGAATTCAGGTTTCGTTAAGAGGGCAATAACTTTAAATTGGGAAATATCACCTTAATAATGTTTTAAAGAGAAACTAGATTCGAGATGGATTCTCAAAACTCTAATTAAAAGAATTAATGTGTAGTGATAAAAAAAATTCACGATTGACACCGTAGCTCAACGATGATACTGTTTAGTAATCGCTCTACAACAGAAACAAAATAGCTATCTACCACTTCCTGGTATTCAATGGTTGTCTAGTCCCAATCATCCCATTATGTAGCTTCGAAGTAAACAATCTCTCTACAAGTTACTATTTCAATATCACAGTAAACATACAATATAACATAGAGTCACTAAAAAAGAGGAAAAACAAAAAAGTAAAAACAACCATCCAAGAATGTCAAACTTAACCTAATAAGCAGGCATCAATGCCAAGGTTGGACTTGATAGTTTCAAATAAATTTATCATTAAGTAGAAGGTTAGTAATAAACATATATCTGTTATATCTCAATGCGTAGAAAATTGTACTTCTGACGTTTTGTTATATAATGTAACTAACTTCTTCAAAGCAAACAAACAACCCAAATAAAGTTAACACAAGTTTAGATGGTACAAAGGAAAAATGGATATTTTTAGCAGAGTCAAAATCATAATAGGTTTGACGGGACCATATTCAAAAACCTTCAAGCGGTTGAAAATAAGGTGAACTTCTGACCGGAATTCCCACATATGCTTTATTTAAATATCAAAACAGTATACTGGAGCCAATTCAACATAACATGATTAATGTCGTAAAGGATTCATACGAGTTTAAATCAAAGATCTTGGAGTTATCCGTCAACAAGAACGGAACAATTATAAGTTACGATGTTGTATCTTTATGCACTAGCATTTCAATTGGTCAGTGTCTAGACTTTAATGATGGTTTACTAAAGAATAATAATACTCTGCTTAGCAGATGTTCATTAAGCACTAGTTCCATCATGAAATCCTTCAAACTATGCTTGAATTAAAATCATTCACTTCCAAACGAACGAATAGAGTAGCCAAAGGATCTCCGATTGTTGTTGTAAATAAGACATTCGTCATTATTAAAAAAAATTCTCTTAGAAGTTTCTACAAACAAATAAACACCTCACTTTTGAAAAGGGAGATAAACATGGTGAACTACCTTTCTTAGACTGTTTAGTTCAAAGAAATTCTAATGGAAGTCTAAATTTAACCATGTACCGATAACCGACACATTCAAATCGGTATATTGATTTTAACTCTGCGCATCCACTCAGTACAAAAGTTTACCTAGCTCTGAATCTTTTTCAGAAGAGAAATCAAGACAATTACTTCGGAAGAAGACAAGCTGAAGGAAAAATAAAATATAAAAAAACCCTACGATTTAAGAATTCTCCTGAGAATATTATTAAAAACATTAAGACAAAACTATCCTTCTTCACATAACAAGTTTAATAAAAGATCTTGGATTGGTACTGTGATTTTAACGTCAAGATGAAACAAAAAATTACAACGGATCTTGAAAACTTACAAAATCAAAGATTGCTAAAAGGCAACCAACACTAAGAAACGCTCTAGTTAGAATAAAAGATAAGATTCCGTTCACTTCTACACAAAATTCTTTATACAGATTAAATTAGGTCGATTGTGATGCGTTTTACATTAGAGAGCCTTTCCGTAAAACACTAACTCGTCCCAAACAATTTCGGTTATTCATTTGCACTGAAGAAGTGAGTTACGTCATGTGACGAAAAGTCAGAAATACTATTTCCTATTCATTGCGATTTCACAAAACTATAGTTGTTATTTTACCTATTAAGATAGTTGGAGGTAATCATCAGGAAACTTTAAACCTAGGTTTATACTGGTTGACACTCGTTAGCAAGGTGCACATATGGTCTTGAGGAAATTGATGCTCCCTTATGCATTTGAGCCCGAATCATCCAGTTTTACCATCTAAAGCATTACCACTGAGCTATTTGAGCTGTGACCGACTTCCTGCATAACTGCTATATTTACATTAGTTGATCATTGAACACAGCTAATCTCACGTTTATATGGCCCTTAGTGATTGAGACAAGAGTTACATATGTCTAACTGGCACCTATCTTGATACATGACGTTCGCTGATGTACAAGTAGGTTGTGAGGAAGACAGAGAGATCAACCCAGGGCGTAGGGTCAGTCAATGAAATCAATGATTGGTGTACAAAGCTGTGCAGGTAGGTGTAGACTACCTTGTTAGTGTCCTCACCATTATCCTAACCAAATGTTGGAAACGTTGAGTAGCGTAGCCGGGAATTAGTATAAAGTAGAAGACGCGTCCACTTTTTGTCTTCCCTTAGGCCTTGAGTTTAAAAATTATCGTACACCTTTTTTATTCTGTGAGTTCATTCTTCCTTCTTGAATCATAATTCCGATACCTAATCTGTTCAAGTATCACTAATACTGTTACTACTTCTACTATTCTGGGATTTATTTTGTCATTTCACTTTGCTAATATGGTGTGACAACTTGAGTCGATGCATATGTGTCTGATTTTATGTTGCTTATGACTAACTGACTAACCAGTGGGCTAAACACCGAAAAGTCAATGTATATATATATTAAGATGAATTTAAAAGATTAACAAATTATTGATACCTATTATTTCAGAAAAATTACTTACAAGATTGACGACCAATAAACATCCAATGTAGTGTCATTGTTGAATAAACGCAATTCACGCTGCATGTATATAATAGCCAAACAAATTTATAAGGGATAGTGGCTACAAAGACAAATAATAGAAGTGATATAAATAGAAAAAAACAAAACTAATAGAATTTTTTTGTAGTGAAACTACAGTATGTATGACATATGTAGCTAGTGAAAGTCAGATGTGACTGGCTGCTGGGCGTGGACTGAAAAATACCCAGCTTGCTGACTGTCCTTCGTATTATTAATTTCTACTATGAACTCACTGAATTTACACTGCTTGTAATTGTATTGCATAAAGCAACGTCTATCCTATACAATGGCTCTCTATATTTGGTCTTGAATCGTGTATCTATGCATAGCGTATCAATCGAGTATTTAGTCTAATGGTAGTCTAACCTCCGTCACCGACCCTATTATCGTATTATAATATGGTGTCACGTGGAACAGAAAATAACTTTTATTCCCCCCGATATACGAATGTGGAACAATCGGTTTATTTTGAAAATAAATTTTAGTACACGGTTGATATTGACGTGGAAGTCTAACATTCAGGTCTTTGTTTATTGAAGAGTGAACATAGCTACAAAACCGATATCTTTCAATCGTTTATGACGCCTAATCACGTTAATTTTACGTTAAAATTTTGTATAGAAGCATGTTATTTTACTATAAACAAAAACCTATTTTCTGATTAGTAGTTTTGTCTTTAATTTCGAACCATTCAGGAGATTACGTCAATAATTTGTTCTAGTGAACAAATATCATTCAGTTATATTGTATTACTGCTTATTATTTATCAATCAGCATTCTCTTCATTCATTTTAATGATCAAAAATTCAGTCATTCAATCATAAAATCTTACTCCATGACAACAAATAAAACATCAGTTGAGTTCAAACATTTCAAAATATCAAGTAAATATTCTAAACTCAATTAGTATTGTTTGTTTGAATCTTCCCATTGATGTTAAGGACTGCAACTGGTCAGTCTCTAATTGGCATATATGCATACTGTGCGTATTGCCTCGATATGGCCTTACTTCACAAGCATTGTAAGCAAAGATGGATAGTGGCTAGTAGTGAAATCCAGGAAGCGCGTTTCGTCCCATTTGGGACTCGTCAGCTGGATGTACCTGCATCTCAGAGTTAATGTTCAATTTGAGACTCGGACCCAGTACCTTTTGCTTCAAACGCCATTGAGTTATCCACTCAGCTACTGGGTCCTGATATTCTAAACATTTTTGATAGTACAATGAAAAGGATAGTGCTACTAAATTTAGACTACTAACTTATGCTATAAATCATGATTGAATGTTTGACTTATAACGAGGCAAGAGGAGACAGGAGTTCCTAGAACTAATAAATGTAAAATTAAGAGTAAAATATCCAGTTAGTGATGCCTAATTTCTAATCAATTAACGGAATAATAAATCAATTAACAGCTTTTTCCTTTTAAAATACTAAATAAAATTGTAGTTCAATACAATCACAGCTTACACTTGTAATGGCGATTGATATGTTTAGCCCATATACTATATTATAGCTTCTGCACAAGCTAATTTACCTATCCATCTTGAATCATGTTTTCACCATGTCAATTATTCACTTATTAACCTCAACTATTTTTTATATGAGAGTAGGTGTGTGTACACTTCTTATCCTATTTATCACATATCTGTAAGTTATTGTTGTCTGACTATAAATATTGATTAACGCTTGATTAAAGTGAGTTGGCTTACCCGCCATCTCCAATGCGTGTCATTTTTGTTTCACCCGCTGATATTTACTCATGTGCTTATAACTTTCTGGCCTACGTCATTTGTTAATAAAACTGTAGCTGCCGCTTCTCTTTGCCTTCTGATTTTATGCACCGTTAAGATTTGTATTATATAACGGTTATCAAGGTGAACGATTAGCGAAACACGGCATTACATACTCATACTACCTAAAACTAACTATAATTAACATCTAAGCTTTAAACAAAACAAAAAAGTAAAAGAATACAACTTGATAATAACAATATAGTGTATATTATTTCTTGATTAATTTGGGTGTGGTTTTTGTTTTTCTCTTTAATTTGAAAGATAACACAAAACTTTTTAAACAATCTACTTGGTTTTCTTTTCAAGGTCAATTGTGTATCCCTACCTGATTGTGTTGATGTGTTTAACATTAAAATAGAAGTTGTTTCATAGAGATAAATATATCTTCTTTCATAAAAACTTTCTAACAGTACGAAATTATTGTATTACAACACAGAATGTACAGTACAGAATATTCATTGAATGTGTATCGTTAGCTTTATTATTATTATTCTCAGAAGGGGATTTGTGGAGATTTCAGTATAATTCAAAGTTGAAATCATGTGTCAATTGAAGCTAGACCACCATCGAAAACCTGGAAGCACTGGACGGCCGTTTTGTCATATTATGGGACTCCTAAGCAGTGCGCACCCACGATCCCGCACTCGCGAGTTTCGAACCCAGGATCTACCAATTACGAGCCAGAGCCCTTAACCGACTTCAAGATACATGTCCTGGAGTTCTAGTGGGAAGCAGTAACCAGTGGAGTTCAACCACGTCTGTTGTCAGATAACAACTCACTGAAGGCAATTGGTGAAGTGTCGCTCATAATTCGTGGATCAGTTGAAGTTAGACATTAACACCGTTGGATGCTGGCTCAGTGGTCTATCGGCTAAGGGCTCTGGCTCGTAATTGGTAGATCCTGGGTTCGAATCTCGCGAGTGCGGGATCGTGGTTGCGCACTGCTGAGGAGTCCCATAATATGACGAAACGGCCGTCCAGTGCTTCCAGGTTTTCGATGGTGGTCTAGCTTCAATTGACTCATGATTTAAACTTTGAATTATTATTATTATTATTATTAGTAGTAGTAGTAGTAGCAGTAATGATAGTGGTAGTATTAGCAGTATTACATTTGTGTACATGCACATATACACACACCCTTTCATTGTAGATAGTAAGATGTATTCAATATTATATGTTCATTGAAAAGTATTTATAACAACAACAAATTGAAGGGTATATTTGATCTAATCAATAATATTGATATATATCAATGATGAGCAGTGATTAAAATGATATGAATGAATTAGCTAATTAGTTAAAGAAAGCAGCTACTTAGCTATTATGTGGATTTGAAACTTGTCCAATACTTAGTTCTATATAATTCCCCCAAATACTCTTATACAGCTGACGGTGGAGAGAGTCCACTCTTTCGAAATGCTCTGACATGACCACGCATATACAGCCACTGACAGATAAGTCCTAGTACTTCATCTTCTGACATGTTTGGGATATGCCCAGTCGCTGTACATATACCATGTAAACTCTTGGCCGTTATAGTAGTTTTGAACAAAAATGGTTATAACCAAACCAAGACGTGAAATTAATCCTCAAAGTCGTCAATTGTTCAACTAATCCATCAGAAGAAATGTTGTTGGAATGATAATCATGATTTAAGATTGAAAACCTTGGTAATATGGCTTAAAACTGTTTGGAGTAGCGCATATGTATTGATTTTTTATCTCCTCTTAGATGTTGATTTTTACTGTTACTTCAAAATTCTTATCATACTATTTCGTTTGTTCTTTTGAACAGTATATTTCTTTTCATCATCTATGATGCTATTATGATTTGGATTCCTTTGGTATTCACCGCATTAATTTCCTATCATTGTAATGATACCATTCGTGGCATCGTGGTTCATTGAAGATTCGTACTAGATCCTAATTAGTTTTTAAATAATTAGTTCCAGCCACTTCCAAGGGAGACCTACTCAATGCTTTTTCGTGGCAGGGGTGCTGTTTACGAAATTGAGGGGACGAAACGAGAATGTCCAACACTTGGTGGGTAAGGAGGATCCACCCAGGGGAGTTGGAAAACCCTGATTCCAAACCAATGGTATACATGGGCTCCAGGGTCCTGAAAGAACAAATGGCGTCTTGAACATATTATTGGTCATCGGCTACCATGAAACTGTGCCTCCTAACGTTGCTCTACTGTCTTATGAATTGGACGTTCAGATCAGAGTCTTGGGGAGTGTCCTCCTAAGAAAAACACCTGCTTCGGTTTGGGCATCCGGACAGTATCTCGGCCCTCACACAAATCAAATGATTTGCGTGGCGCATATATATTTGATACCTTGTTTTACCAATGCTTATGCATTTAAATAAATAAACATTTTCGGAAATTAAAATGACTAAAGAATGAGATTGATAGGTTAAAAATGAAGAAAGTCAATATGTTTGATGTACAATCGGATGTGAAATTTTATTGTAATTTCCTATATGAGAATCAAAATACATTTGTTTGACTACATTAAAATCTTTAGGAAAGTTAGCGTAAAAAATCTAATTCATTATATGATTAGTTGCTTCTTTTCCCTTTGAGGAATAACAAGTAAGTAAAACCAGTAGTTAATCGGATAACACGTTGGTTGTTTAAAAAAACTTATTGAGTTCAACTCCCGATGTGTTAACATTAATACTGGAATGCAAGCATATCCAGCGAACGAGTCTCGAAGAGGACGAAACGTGTGTCTTGGATTCCACTGGCTAGCCACTATCCAGTTTTAATGATAAAAACTTATGACTAAATTACAATAGATCACGATGATCAGCTTAAGATGCGCATATACCAATAGAGACTGATCAACGGCAGCCGTTAATAACAACAATGGAAAAATACGATCCTTCGCAAATAAAGCGATCAAGTTAAAACATCATCTGGAATTTTTCGCGCGATGAACTGACATTAGCTGAATTATTTCTAAGGACCAAAATGTCGTGAAAATATACAACAGTTTCGTCTTAATTTAAGATACTTCTCCTTAACAATGAACAAATTATTATTTCTCTTTAAATTCTATTACTACTCACTACTGAAAACTCAGTGCATTATATAGAGTTTCAACTTTTATACCTTAGGTAAATAAGCATTAACTAAATCTTGCATTTACCTATACTGAATATTTAGAAAACCTCTTTAGTAATTTTTTCATTAAAAAAGAAATGTGTACAACTGATGTGAACAGCAAAATAAGAGACCTTAACAAACTACGGAAGCTATTTTTGGGGACGTTATTTCATTTAATTCAAAGCTTATAGTACTGTAACATTTACTTTTCCCCCTAGTCTATTCTACAGATCATAAGCTTTTGCTTGATGTATGATTCACTTACGTAGCATTTTCTGTTCCAAAGCTATCGTAATTTAGACGTAACCTTTTGTACTCTATTTTCTACTGTGATCCCCCAGTTTTGGGCATAATTGTATTTTCCTAATTATTGTACGTTGTGGTCAGGTTAGTCATCTACTTATTCATGTGTCTTTTTACACTAATCTGAATTCGGGTACCGGATCGGGTATTTGGAATAAAGCGAGTAATGTTCCAGTTGTCTCGTCGCGCGTGCTTGTCAGCCAATCAGGGATAGAATAGTTTTCGTCTCTCTATCCCCACTTCGAGCTCACACATACTAGCCTCAAGGTTAAGCCAGTCAGCCTATCGCGTCAAGGTCTTAATCTATATTAGACAAGTTATCCTCGGCACGAAAGTGCCGCTGCATGTTTTTACATATAACGCTAAACAGTGATGATTTCGCTTTCCTTTGAATTCGAAGATATTTGGTCGTGAACATTTACTCAAGTACTGTTAGGAGAGTATAGGGGGTTGTCACTCCCCGGTCGGCCACAGTGTGGAAGTAACCTTCTTCTTGAGCGGACTGAAAAGAAGTCTGGATTAGAGATAATCATAACGACCACAGAATGAGACCGTAGTTTCCAAAGTATAACTTCTTGAAGTCGGTCACATATGGTAAGTTTGAGAGTACTTTTAGATGAGTTAGCCGTTCAATGTCAGGGCCTTACAGTCAGAGAAGGAAATCTGTGAGGTAAGATAAGGTCTTCTATTTTTAGGATCGATCTTTTCCAATTCTCACCCTCCGTCGTGGGAAAGTATTATTTCTGTACATGCTGGTTGTTTAAGTGGAACACGATACTGCTGCCACACCCCGGTAGTACGACTTTGCCCATGGATCATGAGTTTGCTGCTCTTAGACTTACAGTTCTCCAACCAACTTGTCTGGGATGGACTTCAATGAGTGAATGTTTCAGCCAATATAGCTCAATTAGGCCACTATGGTAAGTAATCCCGACCACCACGTCAAATAAACAGCTACGGTCGGGACTTTACAAAGTTAATTTAATATCTTACATTAATGAAACCTCTATTACTGTTGTACAGAGACGATAGACGATGATGTAGATTTACAACACAAAGTATGCATTAGTGTACAAGAGAGGTTTGTGTAGGTTGTTAAACTACAAAGGATTCCAATTTCTGATGAGAGATAAGATGATACATGAATTACAGTATACAAATAGCTAAGACAACCAGATACTTATTGTATACAGAAAAAATACAATAATCGTTGAATTAACTAGAATAAAAAATATTTCTTCCACGGGTATTGCTTGATTAACACATTGTTCATCGGTTCCCCCGTTACACCAAACAACCAAATACTTTTCGTGTACACAAATAAGGCAGTGTAGTTTTGAAAATATTTCGAAATATTGAGACTAATTCAATTATTTAAGAAATAAGGAAGGTGTCAGCATAAGGTTGTGGAAATTGTTAAATTCCACTAAAACCACGAGAATGATCTGATGTTTAACACTAATAGGAAGTTTAAAAATAAAGGATACCGTTCGCCATGGAGTTAAAGCTTGAATCTCGCTGTATTAAGCGTTTCAAAGACAAGTTTTCCTACTATCACAAAAATAGAATACATAACGGTGAGACGAACATACTCTTCAGCTAGCACCACGATGGAAAAGCAAGTAAATATCCCAAATAGCTCGAAATTATAGTCTTATTAACTGAATTTGGGAATGCGAACTATTGTTTGTCAACTAATAAAGGTAAAGAAGTGATGATGATGTTAAATGAATTGGAGAGTCCAAGTTCAACCCTTAGTGGGGCCAAGGATATGGACTTTTGGCTGAGGAAACCCGAAATCGTACGATACGAATGTCCTGTGCTCCCTGGTCTTAAATGGTACCACTAATGAAGTTGGTATTCATGATGAAAACTATATTCCCATCAAAAAAAATAATCCCCGTAATTTACTCGATTAAATCTTATGGTCAAGTTGAATTATAAGGGCGAGCTCGAATGACATAAAATGACTTTGATAAATATTGACCCATTCAGACAATCAGAAACAGCATATATGAGAGTGATTCATAATTCTAGAACTAGGGTTTAGGATCACAATTTAGAATTGGATTTAGGGTTCTCATCACGAACTATAATACAAGAACGCTTTTCAGCCAAATGGATGAATGCATTTTATAAAAAATTCGAGAGGCACTACCGTAAATTTGATCAGTTCGTCCATAAATTAAAGACTCGTAGCTTAGATTGTAGTCTTAACCTTAAACCCTAGTACTTAATGATGATTTTATCTACGTTTTATAAACATTCGTGTTAGACATATGCTCTATGACATTGAATTGGTTTGCATATTAATCATTGGATCGCCCTCATAGTTTAGTTTTATTGATTGGTAATACTTACTTTCGTTGTTTGATTCCTCATTTCGTCTAGATATGCACGCCACATTACACGCCAATATTATATAACATACAGTTGCGCTTAACAAAGCCCACTGAGATGCATCCAAACACCAGGATAGAAAGTCTGGAAATTTCGGATCACGTAGAATTATCCACATATAATCCAAAATGAGTAGAGTTGCAAACAAGGAGGCAAAAATGCATCGATATACTGCAAATGCATTTCCTCGACTAAAACATATGTACTAAAATCCAAGAAAAAGAATTAAAGTGATGGATTAAGCCTAATGCAATTAGTAAGTATTTGGGAACTGGAGAAGTCCAAAGATTAATATAAGGTAAAGAGCCAGTGATGGTCGAAACATGAAAACTGAATATATTTGCTTTGTTTGAAACTCTCATTCACTAGCTAATACTCGTTTACAGATTCTATGGGAATTAAAATACGAATTTCAGCTTTTGCTATCGGGATATTGAGAGTGAGAGATATTGAAATTCTTTGGTTCGATAACTGTAGTTAACAAATGTTAATGATATATGATATTCCACTGTTTACTAATTTTGCTTCACGGTCAAATAATTTTTTAATTTATTTGAACACATAAATATTGGTACAAGGAGGCATCAAATACATATGCGCCACACAATAACAATTAAGTTGTGAAGAGATAGGGGATATAAAGTAAGCATAATAAAGAGAACAACAGCAACGGGCAGAAATTGGTGCGTGAGAGTGGAATAATAATAATAATAATAATAATAATAATAATAATAATAATAATAATAATAATAATAATAATAGTGGGAGAAACACTTCAGTTAGCAAAATCGTAACCAGAAAGAATCCTTTCAGTTAAAGATGTTACAATCACTTTTATGAAGAAAGTAAAAGAAAGTTACAGCAAGATGTCCACTGGCTTCTATCATGAGCCATATCTAATAACGTCCCTAACCAGTGTTGCACCATCTCTAGGACTCAAACCAGAAAGTCGTAATGGATCGACAGAAGCCAGTCCTTTACAGCTTTCTTTCATAACACGATACCATTTCACACACTGACCACCTCTCAGCCTTTTCCGACCAGTTCCAGCGTCAGCAAATAATGCACGATGTTGAATCCTCTGGGACGACACTCGTAGAACACGTCAAAGCCACTGGAATCGATGTTTTAAGATGGTGACATCAATTGAGTTATCATCCCTATGCTCGGACACACGATGCTGAACCTCTGAATTACTAACATTGTGTTGCCACTGGATATCAGCAATCTTTCTAAGACAACGATGATCAAATGCAAAGTCGTCTAACATCCTCGAAGAGACCAGGTTTCGCAAGCATAGTGCGAAACTGCTTTGACACCACAAAGGCGCCAAAGATGACTTAGACTGGCATAAGCCGATCTGGCTTTCACTATACGTGAATTAATCTTATCACACACTACCACAACGAGCAATTATGCAGCTACCCAGATACACGAAATTCTCGACTAATTCTATCCGCTCACTACCCAGAGTGAGTGCAAGCTCAGGGTCCTGCCAGTCTTTCACTAGTACTTTGCACTTCGAAGGTGCGAAGCATATATCATACCTACGGACACTGATTGTCAACTGACTGAGTGCGAATTACATGGCTTGGGTATCATTTCACATCATCCGCATACTCATGGTCGAAAAGTCTTTCTCTAGAAAACAGACCTACAGCAACATTACCCATATCTATCAAAGCTGTTTCCACAACATCATTTATGGAGAAGTTAAAGAGGGATGGTGAGATTAGGCAACCCTGTCTAGGTCCACTGTTTGAATGGAACAATGAAGAGGAGTGGTTGTATGCCCTCACTTTCCCAGAGGTGTTAGTATATAGGGCTTCCAAGATATTGGTAAACTCCTCAGGCACACTCTTCTTCAATGGACAATCCCACAGAACAGTTATGTCCAACGAATCGAAGGCGGCTCTGATATCAAAAACACCACCATTATTGGCCTGCGTTAAGTATGATGGTGTTCTAACATTTGGTGGAGGGTGAAGATATGATAAATACATCCTCTGCCAGAACGAAAACCAGTTAGCTCTTCGCGAATCAATCTTTCTTGGGTTTAGGACAACCTACGAAGTATGACAGAAGCCAATAAAATGGATGCAGTCGGAAGTAGACTTGTCCTCTATTATTTATTCCGTAGATGACGTGAATCCTTCTTAAAGATAGAGACAACTATCCACTCATTTAATGATGCTGTGACACTCCAATTAATAGGTGTTTATAAACAATTTAGTCAGTTCCCTAACCAGAAGGTTGTCACCATCTCTAAAAAGGGACGGAGGTAAGTCATCTGGGTCTGATGATTTATGGCGCTTCAGTAGTTGGAGTTCCTTGAGGACTTCTGCATCGTATGGTGGATTGGTCAATGCAGATCAAGGGGGCAGAACAGTTGGTGGCAAAACTCATTCTTGATCGCATACGGGCTGCAATCTGTCGGGGCATAGGCAGAGATGACGAAAATACACCGGTTTCCTATCACTTAGATGGAACTTTCCAATCTACTGGCACATAACCGACTGTTGATAGTGATCCAATCGATCAGTGTTGCCATAGTTTTAACGCTCATTGTGACACCAACGCCACCAAAACCAGACGAAGGTTCAACAAGGCTCCCGGACAAATGAACGTAGAACAAGCTCCCCCAAACGACAGTTGGACAGCGAATCTGTAGTACTTCACTAGGGTCTTGGATAGACAACAGACGTCGATATTAAGACTTTCTAAAGACATAACCAAACCTATCTGTTGTCCGATCTGCATTAATTTGCGAACGTTGAAGGAAGCCAGTTTGAATTGTGTACGTGGTTACAAAAAGACTGTTTCAGTATTCGTATTTGGTGGTGGCATTCAACTTCCAACCAGTTAGTGAATTGAGATCATTTAGATACGTCAGGGTTTCCAGCATAGGCGAGCTCCTGCATGTCCAAAAATAAAATACGTGAAATGAGAATAAGGAGGAGTACATAAGTGATTTGGTATAGAAGAAATAAAAACGAATGTTATCGAATGATTGTGAAAATGACTTGTCTGAACGAATCTTCAAGCAAGAGTAATTTTTTTCCAGTATTAATTGTCATTGATTTGTGTGAGGGTTGAGATACTGTCCGGATGCCCAAACCGAAGCAGGTGTTTTTCTTAGGAGGACACTCCCCAAGACTCTGATCTGAACGTCCAATTCATAAGACAGTAGAGCAACGTTAGGAGGCACAGTTCCATGGTAGCCGATGACCAATAATATGTTCAAGACGCCATTTGTTCTTTCAGGACCCTGGAGCCCATGTATACCATTGGTTTGGAATCAGGGTTTTCCAACTCCCCTGGGTGGATCCTCCTTACCCACCAAGTGTTGGACATTCTCGTTTCGTCCCCTCAATTTCGTAAACAGCACCCCTGCCACGAAAAAGCATTGAGTAGGTCTCCCTTGGAAGTGGCTGGAACTAATTATTTAAAAACTAATTAGGATCTAGTACGAATCTTCAATGAACCACGATGCCACGAATGGTATCATTACAATGATAGGAAATTAATGCGGTGAATACCAAAGGAATCCAAATCATAATAGCATCATAGATGATGAAAAGAAATATACTGTTCAAAAGAACAAACGAAATAGTATGATAAGAATTTTGAAGTAACAGTAAAAATCAACATCTAAGAGGAGATAAAAAATCAATACATATGCGCTACTCCAAACAGTTTTAAGCCATATTACCAAGGTTTTCAATCTTAAATCATGATTATCATTCCAACAACATTTCTTCTGATGGATTAGTTGAACAATTGACGACTTTGAGGATTAATTTCACGTCTTGGTTTGGTTATAACCATTTTTGTTCAAAACTACTATAACGGCCAAGAGTTTACATGGTATATGTACAGCGACTGGGCATATCCCAAACATGTCAGAAGATGAAGTACTAGACTCAGTATTTCAATCACATATGGGCAATATTTTAAAGACATTTTGATCGAATATCAGCAGCCGACACAATCCTAGACCTTTTATCAGTCAAATTTTACAACCGTTGTCGTGCAGGATATCCGTCTGGTACCTATGTCACAAGTGGTTCAAGTTTGCAATAGTAAACCAAGCGCTTTATACTCTTGTCGAGATTTTATTATTACCCTGCCAACGATGACTGATGATACCTCCAGAGGAATTTGATCCTGGACTACAGAGGATTTACAACAAAGAGGCTGATACGATATACTATAAACCATATTTATTGTGTGAGGAATGATGATACAACTTAGCTATTCAAAACTTGCTAAATCGAAAGAGACTCAAATCCACAACTGACTGGCATAAATTCAAGTACCAAAAACAATAAGTCGTAAAAACTTGTGATCAAATTATGCTCACTGAGCTAATTCAACTCATTTCATCAATCAAATACAAATCACTGTACGTAAAGCTTTGAGTTACAAATGTGAAGGTAAATGATATCACACAGATACCCAGATCGTAGTAGGATGCAACAATTCTGATTAGTACACAATAATGAAAATATAATTAACTAGAATACAGAAGCGAGTGGAGGCACCAGATAAAGTTTGTGATTTATGTGACACTAAAATATTAACTTAACTTAACCGTCTAACCTCTTTGAATTTATTTATTTTTATTTTTATTTAAACACATATATATTGGTACAAAAGGGCACCAGGTACATATGCGCCACACAAAATAATGAAAGTAGGAAGAGAAGGGATGAAAAGATAAGGCGGACTGAAATGTACAACCAGAAGACTCTTTCAGTTGAGAAAGCTAGAACCATTCTTTATGTAGAAAGTAAAAGAAGGTTGCAGCAGGATCGCCACTGGCTTCTATTCTGAGTCATATCTGATAACGTCTCTAGCCACTGTGTTGCACCATCTCTCGGACCCCAGCCAGGGAGTCGTGAAGGACCGACAGAAGCTAGCCCTTTGCAGCTCTCTTTCATGCCACAACAAATGCCACACAAATAAATGAAATGATGAATTCTATTGACGATACACAAATAAACCTTTTTGAATAATTGTAAAATAATAGGAATTTTAATATTTTTAATGTTTAGTCTGACACCTATCGGCATTTTTATTAGATAGCTCTACTCCTTTGTAGCTCTACACATTTAAACTGCCGAAACAAACCATCATCAACCGTGGCTTCGTATTCGACCCACAGACGGAGAGAGATATGTAGTGACGCCGATAGGCTAAAGCTCCAAACTGATTTAGACGAATAAAACAAATGGTCTAAGTGAAGTTGCTCAGGAATAATTTTTGATTAAACTGCATAAGTCCAAATCGGATACAATAATAGCTATAAGTACACTGCCTATGGAATTCCATTGCCAAAACTTCAAAAAGAGATAGCACACCATGACTTGAAAACAATGACAAACTGCAATACAACAACTGCTAAAGGATTTCATGTTTTGCGGCCAGTTTTAAAGCATCCTAATGCTCTGACGGAGGAATGTTTCAGTTTCCGTACCAAAAATACGCAATATCTCTTTTTGAAAGCCATGTCAAAGCAGCTAATTCGCGTCTAAATATACAAACACTTGAGGATGTCCAAAAAGTAGGCACTAAATTAGTGACGCGGCTACCCAATTAATTTCAAGATGAACAGTTTGCACACTCAAATCTCTTCCCCTTATGGCGAAACTATAATTTATGAACGAACCGATCAGGCATGAGATAACAAGTTTCAGGTTTTGGAGCAAAATTCACTCATTCACATAGCTAAATAAAGTTTTGGCATTATAGCTGGTGTCAGTTCGTGATGAAAACATTGGTTTATAACCCGCATTTGGTCCTAGTTATTAGAGGGACGCTCTCAAGGCCAGTTTAGCGTCACTCAAAGGTCGTCCATAAATTATAGTCTCATCCGCCCTTGTCCTCCCCCCCCCTACAGCTAGTCATTTTCGAGGAAGTCACAAAAACGTTCAAAAACCGCGGTCGAATTATATCAAAGTGTAACTCCACTCTTCTCCTCTAATTGTCAACGGCTGAAACAGCCTGATTAGACTGGTTACGTCGATCATATAGGGTTCTGTAGTCAACACCTAATGCAAGGTATACAAAGGATCAGAAACATGAATAAACTATGTAGATGTTAGAGTATCCCATGCAAGTAACAAGCAAAAAAGGTCAAAAGCATTCACGCAGAAAAACTGAACATAATAAAGGGAAGTAGCAAAAATTATACATGATTACAAACTTGCCCTCCACTGATAAAAAACGTTAGGATGGGGATATACAAGTCTAAATCGTTCTCTAGTGCACTCTACTGCAATCTGTGAACACGACATCAGCAGGTGAGAAGTTTAGTCCAGAGGATAAATAAAATGTAGTGTGCGACTTGATCACTTGGCTGCAATTGTCGTTGAAGTCAATTCCCCCGATGAAATGCGTATAGATTCACGGCTCACTTGGTCTCCAACGAACTGTAACTTCTCAGTTCAATGTATTAATTCAACCGATCAATTAATCAATGATTTTAGTGTAAAAATAGTCTCAACCTCACTGTGTTGGTAACGTTACGAAACTGGGGTTTGAAATTTTGCGGCTTTATAGCACTAAGGCCATAAACATACTATTGGTTATAACAACGTAATGATTGCAAACACTAAACATCAGTGTATAAAAATACTAATCCGTTGTTTGATTAGGATCTCATTTGTAGAATGTGTTTGGTCACCGATATTTACCATTCCTGTTTTATTCTCTCCTGAATATGAAAAGATCAAAGTTTTTATGTATGATTGAGACTTCTATTCGTTTATATCTGGGATTCTTTACTACTACACGTGGATCTCAACGCTAATCAATACAGAAGTTCAATATGAAAAGATACGAAGATATATTCAAATAACGAATGATCTGCCATGGTGTACGCAATCTGGCCTGATTAGATAATCTAAGCACGGTGCGCTCTAACTTCATAGGGTGTGCATTCTTGACCAAACGCCTTCACCTAGGAGTATCATATTATACACGAAATCTTCACACCAGTCCTTCCTGATAGGACGAATGATTGACAGTTTTTCAACGTTCATTAACTGTGAGAAAACTGTATTTTCAAGTCTTAAAAAGACATTTTATTTGTAGATTGTGAATCACAGTGCTCTGTTCTATAACACGACCAAAAAATAATTATCATGACAATCCTTGAATTCTAACGTTTCCTGGGTCAAGATAGAAAGGCAGAACAGCGACAAAAGAAAAACTGATAGCCTGAAGTCAAAATCTATAGACGAACCATATTCAATGAATAGGAAAAAAAAAGAGAAAATACATACGTTTATTGAAGCACTTCAAGAGTGATTATTTTACATGCAAAAGAGTTTTAGTGGAGATTTCAGTATTTTTCAAAGTTGAAATCATGAGTCAATTGTAGCTAGACCACCATCGAAAACCTGGAAGCACTAGACGGCCGTTTCGTCCTAATATGGGACTCAGCAGTGCGCATCCACGATCCCGCACTCGAGAGATTCCAACCCAGGACCTACCCAGGACCTTAACCGACTCCAAGATACATGTCCTAAGATTTTAGTGGGAAGCAGTGACCAGTGGAGTTCAACCACGTCTTTTGTCAGATAACAACTCGCTGAAGGCAATTGGTGAACGGCAGCTCAACCTTCGTGGATCGGTTGAAGTTAGACATTAACACCGTTGGATGCCGGCTCAGTGGTCTATCAGTTAAGTGCTTTGGCTCGAGACTAGTAGGTCCTGGGTTGGAATCTCACGAGTGCGGGATCGTGGATGCGCACTGCTGAGTCCCATAATATGACGAAACGGCCGTCTAGTGCTTCCAGGTTTTCCATGGTGGTCTAGCTACAATTGACTCATGATTTCAACTTTGAAAAATATTTTACATGCCTTTGCTTTTTAAACAATAGAATTTTAAAATATGAAGGAACGTAATCAGTTTTGAAAATATTCTGTGTGCAACAGCCGTTTAGATATTCTGAGAACCCCATGGTTTTGAGAGACCAGTTATCGGATACCAGAGAACTTTCGTCCTGGTTGCTAACCATCAGGACCAGTATCGTAATTGCAGTCATCATGTTGTTCATTTATTCAGTGAGAAAGTCAACAGGGAAGGTGTTTTCTCCTTAGTCTGCTGTTTCAAGCATTCTATGGTGACGTTATCCTCGTTTCCGTTCTTATCTATATCATATAACGTGGATGCGCAATGAAAAACCGTATTGGGTATGTAGATCATCAGTGTCGGCATTCTATGTATATGACCGAGTTGGATGGGAACGTAGTGACCTTCCAGTCTTTGCTAAAGTCACAACTCGTAGCTAATATTTAGTGTGGATTACTCTTCCTTCGTATTCAGGTATCATGGCTACGATGGTGAATGTATGGTAGAAGCATAACGTTCTTTAATGAAAACTATTGATAGAGGCAGGCACAGAAAAAAGTGATACCACAGCCACATGCGTCTGTCCATGTCGTGCGATCTCTCGGTGTGTGTTGATTGTTCTTCAACTTGACAAAAAATTTAATGCTGTTCAATATTCAGTAGACAATTCGCTGGATGATTCGGCTGTGTACCAAATACTTTCACAGGCCCTAAAAGTCCTCAATGTTCATCATCGAAGGGTAGGGGGAAAATGCGATGCACGAATACACAGGGACTTAGCCTTAAAGTGGATTTGATGAAGATATCAAATGGCTATGATCTCTCAGAAACAGAAATATAGGGGCCGAAAACGAGTTTGGACTAGACTATAATTTATAGACGAGCCAATCGAAAGCGTTTATGGGGTTTCAAGGTCGCGGCGCCAACTTCGGTACACGGTGCTCATGTACAATCGGTTTGAAGAGTACTTCAGAGAAGACGTGACAGTTAGGCGGCTACAATAAATGGGACTGCTTAAAACTTCTTTTATTTGTGACTGCGGAAATCGAATGACTTGCAAACCTCGTGCTGAATGTCGTGATGTTGTCTTTCGATGCAATATATGTTGGAGGAAAGCGTCTGCTAGAACAGGAACGTTTCTCACTCGATCCAGATTGAGCCTAAGGCGAATTATATTAATTCTCGCGAACTGTGTAGTGAAAGCACCAGTAACATCGGCTGAAATATTCGCAGATGTTACTGAAGCTTCGGCTGTTCAGTGGTATGAGTATTGTAGGGTTATATGCGCAATAAAAATAGCAAACTTACACAATCGGGGTAAACACAAACAATATTCAAGCTATGTGGCTGAGGTTGAGGGAGTTTTTCGACCTTATCACGGCTCTAGAGACCAACTATTATGGAGCCATATGAATAAAATCCTCTACCTCCTTCATTACGATTTCGGAGCTTTTGAACCTCTTTCTAACTTTGACAGGTTTTTCGACCATGTAAAATAAGTTCATCCACTTTAATTCTTTGGTTTCGCAGAATATATTTTTACTCTATACTAACTGTTTCTTGATTGGCTAATATTTTTTAAGGTCACTTTATATTCGTTCAGGGCTAGTGCTTAAATTATATTCTAGCCGGGTTTTTCTGCAGAGCATCCAGTATCTGATTTACTGTGTTGGAAATTCCGAGTAACACGAGAAGAGCGTTAGTCCAATGTAATACGTTCACATACGAAAGTGAGATATTAAACTATTGATAAAATCTTTCCATCAAATCTACTGGCTCGCCAGTGATAGGCGATTGGTTCTTATCTGACATTTCTGGGTGCTTACAACAGTGCCATGGTTTTGGAGCCATTAAAAAAACAAGGTTTAGATGTTAAGAATGAGATTATCTGTTCAAACATTCGACTAAGCAATCGTCAACATGAGAATGTACAGAGTCGACACCCCTTGATACGTCATGCAAAAATTTCATAAGAGTCTGGGTGGTACTCCTTAAAACCAAATGTATGCGCAAAAATCTGTGGAGTCTCAAGGGAGTGACTATAGCTTTTTTGGAATGTTATCTAAAGCCATGAGAATCTGATTATATGCTTTAACTAAGTCGATTTAAGAGAAGAGCTGTTTTTAAAACAGCTATCAGGTCTTGAATGTATGGGAAGTGCAAAGATGGAATGTGAATTCTACAATGAGTTGCCGATAATCACTAGTTGGGCGTTAATCGTTGCCGTTTTTAGGGACTGTAAAATCCCAGCTAAGGTTTGGCTGAAGAATAACTGTCTCTGCAGTCAGATACACGGTATTTCCAATTGAAATCAAAACAAGGGGATTGGCGAAATAACAGTTCTAAGCAAATATTACCACTCAGTTATTCAACCAACAATTGTTTCCACAATAATCAATCTAAATTACAATAAATAGTAATTGATAAGAAATATAAGAAAATCATCGAACGATCCAAAAAGTAATTGTTATTCTTTCCTTTCTGGATAGATCAAGTTGTAGCTGTAAATAAATGCCAAAAATTAATAGTTCCGTAAGTGTTCAACATTGGATACTGACCACATTAGTTTTAATGGACTTATTTAGCTGAAGGCGCTCGGTCGTACATCCGTACCAGATCACGTTTTGGAATGCCATGCGCAACATCTCCTGCGATCACTAGCGCGATTATATAGTCACTCCTCGATATATCGACAACCCATCAAATATATCTTCCAACCTCCTCGCTTCCGACTTTTCATTTCACTGGGTGGGCGCGATTCAATTATAGGTGTTACTGATAAAGTGCTATCAAACTACAATACCTGTGGTATCTTCAAAATAAAAATCCGTTCAAAATATAATAGATTGTCGCTTTATAACACAAATTGTTTCCGATTCTGGAAAAGTGCTGCAATTCACACTGAAAAAGCACGACCCCAGTCAACTCAAGCGACACCATCAAAGAGGGAACAATCAATATAGCTGCCGCCGAGATTTCTTACTTACGCTTGTTTACCACAATGTAGCATAAGCCGCCGATCAGCATCCTCCAACCCACTCTGTCCCGGACCTTTTTTTCTACTTCTATGCAATTCTTCTTCATTCTTCTCATGTCTGTCTCCATTTCTCAGTGTAATGTGTTCTTTGGTCTTCCTCTTTTCCTTTGGCCTTCAGGTTTCCATGTAAGGGTTTGCTTTATGACTCAGTTGGGTGATTTCCTCAATGTGTGTCCTATCCACTTCCAGCGCTTCTTCCTGATTTCCTCCTCCACTGAAATCTGGTTTTTTCTCTCCCACAGTAGGTTGTCGCTGATAGTTTCTGGCCAACGGATCCAAAGTATCTTGCGTAGACAACTGTTAATAAACACCTGTATCTTCTGGATGATGGTTTTTGTAGTTTTCCAAGTTTCCGCCCCATACACTAGAATTGTCTTGACATTTGTATTGAAAATTCTGATCTTGGTGTTGGTTAACAATTGTTTTGGGTTCTAGATATTCTTTAGTTGTAAATATGTTGCTCTTTCTTTGCCGATCCGAGCCCTCACATCTGCATCAGATCCACCGTGTTCATCAATCATGCTGCCCAGATATGTAAAGGTTTTCACATCCTCAAAAGCTTCTCCATCAAGTGTAATTTGATCGGTGCATGTTGTATTGTATCGAAGAGTCTTGCTTGCTGCCGCCGACATTAAGTATCAACTTATCAGCATAAATAAAGTTCAGGAAGTAACATAGAAACTCAGTGAAAGCGAAAGAAAAATGAGAAAACTGTTATAAAATGAAATGTTACAATCTCAAGTGGCATCAAAAAGACTAACAAAGTGTACAACTGGAGAAACCGATAAGAACAAGTTGCAAATGTATGCATGGAGGTATTTCTACCCACAAAACCTTCAAAATGGATCTTAAAAGGATCATGTGAAAAAGTGATGCCCATAAGCTGTTCAATGCTGGAATTCGTCTTTTCCGGTCTTAGCTCTCCAGGAGACAGCCAGCGCACTTTCATTAACACGGGTAATCGTGCATTCGTGACGTCATATATAACACTACCGGTTATTCATGGTAGTTTATGCTGTGTTTTGCGAAGTTCAACACGACTTTGGAGTATCGATCGGAAGCATGAATCGATTTTATGTTTGACCATGAACGGTCATAACGTACAACTAGAAAATGTAGTTATACAAACGGGTATTTCAGTATTTCCATCTACTGACCTCCGTTTCTTCAGGTAAAAGAGTATGTTTTGGTGCTGTAGCATGTCTGTATCAATGATTGGTATGGAGACGTCTACAACAACAAAGTCTCGGTAGATAATTTAAATTAAACACACGCTGAGACAAACATTCCCTTTACTCTAATATACATGAATATTTATATGAAAATGTTAGACCAATCAAGGCTATTTGAGTCAATAATAATCACAATGAAATAGAATACGTTATCAAGCATAATAATAGTTAAAAGTACAAGTTGATAGTGGCAAGACAGGATGAACTACTAGAACAGTTCAACAGTGTACATCCAGCTATTAGCTTCACTGGTGAAGGCGAGTGTGACATGAAGCTGAATTTCCTTGACGTTACACTAAGCAGGCGAAGTGATGGCTCGTTAAGTAGAAGCGTGTATAGAAAAAGACCCTCTGCCTGCCAATACACTCACTTCTATAGCTTTACACCTATCCAATATAAGAGAAACTTGGTTAAATGCCTCACTAGTAGAGCAAAGAAGATCTGTTCTGTTGATACTTTAAGTCAGGAATTGGAATTTATCTATAACTCACTGACTGAGGTCGGCTACCCTGTTGCGTTCATCAAAAAGTACATGTATGATACAAGGAAGAAATCGGAGATTTTAACTGTTCGCAAGAAGCCTCTATACATGAAATTACCATTCAACGGGGATGTAGCTAGTGAAACTCTGAAAGATAGGTTAACAAAAGTAATTAGTAGAACTTTCTACGCAGCCTATCTTGCATTGACTTTCTCGAGTCGACCAGTGATGTCTACTCAAACGAAGGATAAGTTACCTGAGTTGGCCTCCTCCATGTGCATTTATAAGTTCAGCTGATCCTGTGGAGATAGCTATATCGGGCGTACTACTAGGCAACTTAACCAACGAATGAGTGAACATCTACCAGCATGGTTTGGAAAGGGCCAAATAAAAACAATACGCAGTTCTATCTTGGCAAATCTAATTGATAGTTGTCATATTGTCGATAAATTGAAATCATTTCAAATGATCTATCGTATACCTCCATCGTTTCCCAACGGAGTTCGCTCCCGTCTACTTCATATTGCAGAAGCCATAGGAATTCGTACATTCCATCCCAATTTATGTGTACAGAAGAAATTCGTAACCCCCCTATCCCTTCCATGGCCGGACATAACTTAATAATTGATATTATTATTATTTGTAGAAAATTTTTATTTTGGTTATCATTTTTTGTTTGTTTGTAATTTTCTACCTCTTTCCGTTTGTATTCTTCACTATCTATTTACTTACATACTTCTTATTACGTAATGATTTTAATGTTTCGTGATTACTATTCCAGACCATTTACCCACGTTTGACCTCTTAATTCTTATGTTTAATTATTGATAAGACTTTTGCTATCGTAATTTACTATTCTTACTACTATCAGTACACCTGTCTTCCCACTATCGACTTTTACTTTTAACTATTATTATGCTTGGTAACATATTCTATTTCATTGTGATTATTATTGACTCAAATAGCCTTGATTGGTCTAACATTTTCATATAAATATTCATGTATATTAGAATAAAGCCTGATGACGATCTAATTGAAAACAATTGTTCGCTTACATATGTTGTTCAAACATTCCCTTGACGGTCTGTGGGGGCCGGTCTTTCATTCACAGCTTGTAAACTGAAGACTGGACCCTGTAGACGGTAGTTAGTAACAGTATGAGGGAAGTTAAATTCTGCATCAGTCTGGACGATATATCGAACTTTAGTCACCTATCGTTGGATCATAACAGTTACATCGACCGGCCAAAGTAATTGTTAATACGCGCTGGTCGATAAGCTTCCCGGAAGCTTTGCTGTGACAGTAGGGTTTTAGTCGGGGAAAACCTGGATTTTTCCGTAATTTCTTGACGACTCAACACAAATGTTGTGGTGCCAAAATCAATCAGGGCTTTCAGGTTTTCGTTATCTTAAAAAAGATCGCTGGCCTGCTGAGTTTCTCCGAATAATTCAGGATCATCTTCAGTCAATGCGGAAGCTAGGAAAGCGAGTCTGAGTATTACGGATGTCTGTGATTTCATTCTGGGCAGACTGAGGCATCTCTTTGACTGAAAAAACCTTGATGCTGAATACTTAAAGTAATCTCGAGGATCCAGTTGGTCTCAATGAAACGAGAATCTCTTGCACTTAGTGAGATGGGTCTTAAATAAAGAGTTGTTTAGAGAGATCTTCGCCAAAAGTTTAATGTTCTCTAATTTCGCTCATTCGTTCCAATATACCTGTTTCCAAACCGTGTCCCTCTTTGGTTCATTTGTGTCTACAGTATGATTGAAATGGTTCCCGGAAATAACTGCCCGACTCAACCATGAATAGCGAATAGCGGAATAGCGAAGCTCCCGTATGGTACTAGACTGACCAAGCTAAACCTATTCCCGCAGTCATATAGAACAATCAGAGGTGACTTGATTATAGTTTTCAAGTTGCTAAATGACAAATTTGCACTTGATATGCCCTCATTTTTCTTGTCTTCCAAAACAGAAAATCTACGAGGACACTCCAAAAAAGTTCACAAGCCCAGAACGAATTACTTGTCAGCTGACTACCGACTTTCCCATCGAATAATCAACGAGTGGAATTTATTACCTCAGCACGTGGTTGAGGCCCCATCCGTCGACTCCTTCAAAAGAAAGTTGGATCAGCTGAGAGACCATCATTGCCAGGACTAACACAGGCCATCAAGCCTCCTGTCCTTTCCAAACTGAAACTGAAACTGAAACTGAATGAAGATCGCTATGTCCAGTGATATTTTGTTTTCTTTAATCATAATTTACAAAGTGTTTAAATGTCAAGTGTCTAACTACTTTCGATGCAGAGATCATATGTACCTGCTCACATTTTGTAAACTATTTTAGGGGCTACTTGATTTGAATCTCTAACGCGCCAAGGTCAGCATCTCTTGTACCTACAGACTTTGTTTCCACTTCTACTAGACTCCAAGCCAGTTTGTAGGTAGTAGACTATTGTCAATTTTCATATCTCGTAAAGTCTCTTTGACTTATCTACAGTGGATATGCAGTGATTATGTGAATGCGGCGCTAGCTTCATAATGTATTCTACAACATAGGGGATCAAGTTGGCAAATAAATCTGATTAATAATACATCAAGCTTTATTGTTCGTATCGAGTGGTCGTTTAAAACGGTCATTAAAATTTCAGCAGGAAGAAAATATCTTTCCAAGTTAAATACCGAAAAACTCAAATTATGGGTCATATTGGCTATCTGTTTTAAAACATAGGCTTCCTAACTAGTTTTTCTCAAAGAATTCATCACGCGTGATAAATTCTCTTGTTCTTATATCAATAATATGCCTTTTCCCTCTGTTGAAATACTACTAACTTATGATGTTTGCTAATCGGATGTGTTCTGATATCTTATGTTCAGAGTGTGGTTCTAAGCCAGCATTCTAGATAAGCCATATAGTCAGTGAAGCCTGTAGTTCCCACATACTCTAACCGTTGATATGAAAACCTGGAAAAGTAACCATCTTAGTATCTCCTGACGGTTCAGGCCATAAACTTAAACAGCACTTCTTGTATGTTTGTGGATTGATTAGTATCCTGTATGATTGAGTAATAATCTGAATATTTTGGTTGGCTCTCATTTTCATTCGCTTTTATCATTTTTTTTAATTTTTGTTAGGCAAACCCAACGTAGGACGCAGTATGTGTGAGCATCAGTTCAATTTGTCACATCCCACTAGCTCTGCGAGATGAACAATCTAACGCAAATCACACAATCGTAAGGACAGCAGCAGTACTACTGATAGAAAAATTAGGTACCGAAAATACGATTTGAGAAGATACGCATTAGTGAAATAAAAGGATTACGAGAAATTTAGAAATATAGGATTGAAGTGAGGACAGACAGTGAATAGACCTGAGTCACTGAGGACGGTTCTGAGTCGATTTAACCTAGTCCCTAACCATTTGTTATGGTGACCTGGTAGTCTGCATGTAGCTACCTACATGGTTTAATCCAATATTCAGTGTCTTCATGAACTGATGCCATCTCTTAGGTTGGCTGCCCCTGGATTTTTTACTAAGTACGTAGTAGATGTCCCAACTGTCTCAGCCGATAAAAATTCTCGTTAATCGATTGACCATCTTTGCTTCTTACTCTGTTTAGCCGTGGAATTGCTAACTCGGCGGCCTTAAAGTATGTGAGCGATGCTCTGAAGACACCTATGATCGATTCTTAGTGAACTACGAATATCCTCTAACTTTAGAGACTAGGTTTCACAACCTTAAAGTGGAAGGAAGAGAAGTGGGCAGCATTCCTGTCTTTCAGCGGACAGATGGGTATGTCACCTACGTCACAAATGATCCAAGTTTGCAAAAGCCAATTGAACTATCTGGATTCGTGTTGAGATTTCGTCAGACACCAGCACATCAGTTACTAGTATTTGAATAACCCACGCAATCTACTCTTGTAATTCTTCAGGTTTAGTTTGTACCAGCATTTATGTACTATAAGCAGTCGTTTTTAATCAAGCACGTAACTCGGTTTGTAGACTCTATAAAAGTAAACATTAAATTGTTTAGAAGTTCGCTTTAGAACTCAACACGAATCTACATAGACTTGTTGTAAGCTTTCTTAGGATGTCAATTGCATCAATAGTTTTACATAACACTAAAAAACTAATTGTCGTTGGATAGAGTTGTAAGGCAAGTTACGTAATGTACCTAAATCTCACTTCGAGTTAGGTAAATAAATTAAAAGATCAAATTGAACAAAATAAATGGTTATGATTGTTCTTTAGCTTTATAAACACTATCTGTTTTAACTGGTTTCTATCTTTTGCAATGGTATGTACGTATTACAGCATAATCCTATGGGAATTATTCGTACTTATTGGGTTTATTATCAGACATCGAGTGTTTAATATTTTATATAGTTCAAGCAAGCAAAACGGCTTATTGTCACTAGAAATCACAGTTTGCTATAGGGCTTTTGAAAGAGTGTTTCCAAGAAGCCAGATGTAAGTTGATGGAAGCTAACCTATATCATATTCAGTTGTCATCGTGTTGGGTTAAACATTTTCAACAGTCTTAAATGTTTAATCTGACTTCATACACTTAGCTATTATGTGATTTTCATGTTGTTTTGTATAGGAAATGAAAGCTACGAGCTTGTATTTACACCAAATTTCGTTCCAAAGTTTCGTTTACCTGCTTTTTTGCTTCCTTTTTGAACCCAATACTAAATTCCTTGTCCGTTTTTTAGATGGAAGACTCAGTGTATGTAAATAAACTCCCAGCTCCACGTGAAGTATCACCACTCATACGAACAGCACGTTGGGGATTGTTAGCTGCTGGGATTGTTTATGGAGCTCTACGCCTAAAATATCTTACCAAAAGGGAAAAGAAGATTACCGAGCGTGACCGTGCAATTATAGAAAAAAGATTGAAGGAGTACAATGAATTGCATGCTTTACAGGCACAAAAATCTTTGGAAGAGTTATCTAAAGCAACTGGTGTACCATTGAATTAGTAGATAACATAATAAACTGTAGAGACTACTGTACCGTATATCACTTCAAACTTTTTAGATATATAATCAGTCAATATTCTTCTCTTTTTACTTGTTTACAACTTAATACTAACAGAAATAACACTATACAAATCAGAACTAATGACAGCCTCTCTGTCACACGCTTTAAACCTCCACATGGCAAGGTTTAAACAGCTGTGTACCAGAACCTACACAAAAAATAAAGTCACTTGATTACCTTTCATAAAGTCCAATTTTTTACGAATACAATGGGCTTGTTTATATTTATCAATCCATGCCGCTTAATATCCGTAGAAGCATACTGTGCAGCATTATGCTCTGTGTGTGGCTCCAAAAACAAATAGAAAAAAACACGTTAAAAGGAGTAGGATTCATGCCCGTTGCATAGGTGCATCTACCTAAACTCGGTAGATGACGAACTCATTGGATGTCTATGTCCAATAGTACTAGGCTCGAGTCCCGGCGTAAGCACCAACGCTAGAATGTGGGTACATCCATTTCAAGATTCTCAAATCAGACGAAGAACATGCCCTGAATTCCACTGCCATCCATCTCCCAACTTTGCTAAAACTTTTATTTTATATTTAAAGTTGATTATTCGGCTTCTATGGCTCAATTCATTGTTTCAAGATACTAGGAGAGATTAAATATTCTCGTTAGTCTGAAAATCGTTATAGAATTTTGCTTTTACATGAAACCTTCATGAATGTCATTATAGGGCTTCTTTTTTACCAATTATGCTTGACTCACATTTTGTCTATTATATACTATGTAGTTCAGTATCGTATCGAGTAGTAAAGTTAACACCTTGAATAAGTAGTGTTGCGTAAATGTGAATTATTAAGCAAGTACGTAGTTTGCATTGAACGCTGATTTTTATGAAGAACAATACTGTCTATCAGTCATTCATTGTCATCATTGAATCTGACGAATGTGCGTTATCCCAAGTTTCCATATCACATCATCACGATGAAGTGGAACTAACAAGATGGATAACAAAAGAGTCGAAGTAATTGTATTAGCTGTGATTACGCTAAAAACCCTAACCAGGTAGTCTGGATTTTTCAGCAGGAATCAGACTAGCAGTCAGTGAATTTACAGACTGATATCATGTTTTGGTTTGGGTTCCACCAACTCTTTTCCAAACTACTACAGCAGCATCTGTAAAAGTAGGCGGTTGTCGAGAATACATAACACGTGGATCACGAACCGTTCGATTACGGTTTCGAACTCTACCCTACTCTGGAGTATCAGGTAGCATTACCGGTTTCAACACAAAATGAGTTTCGAGACGGAATGTGCAAACCTGTAATTGATAAGTCAATCCCATTAAGTAAAAGTATCAGTAGAAGTAGCCAAATCAGTATAATATGTAATCATAACATGATGTTCGGGACATATGAGGGTTAACCCAAGTTCCCATACCAAGTCAACACAACGAGATATACTTAACCAGATAAGTAGGAAATGAGTCGAAATAATAGTAGTGATCATGATAAGAAACGATCATTTAGAGTACAAAAAGACAAAATGCAACGGTACGTTTGTGGAAATATTCGATTTCAAAATCTAGAGAAAGGTAAGAAATTAATGCATCTCCGCTATGAACCGTGTCACCCAAATTTCCTAGCCATTAATCTTGGTTATCGTATGGATCGCAACTACGTAATATATATCTGCCACCATAACTCAGAGCAACAGTAACTAACCTTTTAGATTGGTCCCGTGTCTTGGTTTGGTCCTCCCACCACTAACTTTCGATCAACTCCTACACCAGTAAACATCGCCTATCCATGTGAGTGGTGATTGGGCATACGTAATGTCCTGATCATATCAGTTCAAAGGTAGTATTGGTAATATTCATGCAACTAAAGTATGCCTTGAAGCTGATTACATAAGTATATACCGATGAATTTCAACTTGTTAAAAAAATAGTTCTCAGCATATGGTGCTATCAGTTTATTTGTACAATAACTACCAAAGAAAGTGGCTTTCATATCAATAATCTTGAAAACCTTTATTCTTCATATTTCCGTTAACCAAATCCTTTTCTTAACATTTGTAAGAAAACAATTCAAATGGAACAAAGACAATATCAGACCTATCCTATCTTCGTCAGTTACTTAGACGAACTGTCACATGACCAACCTACTCAAATTTACTCCTTTTGTAACAGTGAAATGTTTGTATTTTCAAAAATACTGCTAAGCAGCAGTTGAAATTGATGAACTGATCCTTACTCTCAAGATATGATGGATAGAGTTAAACTTGGAAAGTCTTAATTTGTTGAAGAGTGATTAGCGTACAAAATTGATATACTTCAATCATGTATGGCATCGGATCATATTTATTTTCCTGTTAATATTCTGTAATATAGGCATGTTATATCATTAGGTAGAAAGAATCTTCTGTCTCATCTAGTAGTCTTTGGTATTTATTAATTTGGGATGACTATGATGATTAAAAGTATTTGAATAATAAACGAACTAGGAATCCCCGAAATAACGCAATCTAGACCAAATAGAACTAGGTAAGCACAAACGAACGTAATGTATTTGGAATTCAAAATCAGGCAGACATTAAGTTCAAAAGAAATCATTAGTTTATACGAACACAACAATGGCTTACATCAATAATTTGGTTTCGTGAGCTGTCATCACTCAATGATTGTGACATTCCATTCATCGGCATTAGTTAAAGGTAGAGTAACTCTGAGATCCCTACCCGTTTTTGCCAATCAAGACACAGCAGAGATAAATGACTGATTATGCTAGGATTAGAGCTTAGAATATCCCGTTTAAGATCCTTATGTTATGGCTAACGTCGATCCATGAACTATGGCGTGACCAAAGAGTGCTTTACGCATTCACCATTAGCTAAACAGTATACTTTAGCTTTATCCAACGTTCTGTTTATTTAACTAAAAAGCTTTTAGACAGTCGATCACCCATTAAATCATAACACTTATAAAGTCAACAATATACAAAATAAAGTAGTAACTATGGCACCATTAGATGATAATTAAGCTATATCACAAATATATAAGTATATTATCACATTAACATTAATCTCCGATGGCATAGACAGCAAACTTTGAATATCACTCATAAGAATGTATATTCATTTAGAATAACAAGAAAATTATAGGCTAAACAAAATAAACTGAAATAAGAACAGTTCTTTTTTACTGTTTTTTCTTTCGCTAAAAATAGAAAACAAAAAAGGATCATGAAATAAACAAATGAGTTGGTTGTTAGATTTTGTTTTACGGTTCTTTTTTCAAGGTTTTTGAGTCCGGTTTACTTTTGTCAGTGAATTAAATTAATGTACAATTGATCATATATATAACACAGGTATGATTGTATAACTATCTTCTTTTCATGTGTGGAATGTTTACACATATCACTTATGATAACAAAATGTATTTAGAATAATTAGTATGAGCCAACAAGGATGTTTATAAATTTGACGATCATTTAAAGTGAAATGTAAAAGATAGTATGTATTTCATGCAGTAATTGTCAAACTCCTAGAAATTTACAACAGTTTATTTGTTATTCACTGATGATGACGATAAAGATGTTGACGACATTGATGACGATGATGTTGATGATGATGAGGAGGAAGTGGAAAAGGGTGATAATGTCATAAAATTCGATTGATTTATCGAATTATTATTAAGACCTTTTATATTTGATAATAAATTAAACCATGAATTCAACATAGTCACAGGTACCGGCATCCATACACATTTATTCTCTGACATAGATAATGTCGGTAAAGATGACATACTCATAGTATCAGCTCTACTACTGTTGTAAGTGGTGTTTACCGTTGAAGAATTTAAATTCGACGTCATTTTCGAATCAGATAAAATTACATTTTTTGTCAGCGGTATCTTATTACACTCATCAGTAGAAAAATAATCATTCTTATGAATATCTTCATTATGATTAGTAATTTGTTCATCTTTCATAAGATTCGATTTTGTTAAATTATTTATTGAAGAATATTTGTTTATAAACATTAAATTATTATTTGAATAATTACCCGTTGAATTTAAATGATTTAAACGTGTCAATTGTTCACTTAAACGTTTCATATTAATTGAATGACGTTTATTATGTAATTTAGTTGGCAATTCATCAGAATTTCCACTTATTGATTGTTTATTTGAATAATCTCTTAACTTTTCTATGATCTTATTATTATTATCTGTTAAATGAGATAAGTTGATTTGATTCTTTATAGTTTGCATGAAAGGATAATTAGATTCATGTGTTAATTGTATATGACAACTACATTCACAACATGGTGATCGAGGTCTGTTATTATCTTGTTGAGAATATTGTTTAAATTGTAATTTCTCAGATATTCCTAAATTGGTTGGAGTAAAATTGATTGGATTATCTTTTTCATATTGTGTAATATCTTCAACTTTCCATAATTCTGAATCATAATTATTCATTAAATCTGGATGATAATTAACATGTAAATTCATTGGACAATGATCAATAATTTGATTATTCATATATTGATTATTATTATTATTATCAGTAGTATTGCTAATAATTTTTTCTTTATGTAACATTGAATTGGTTTGTTCTATTCGACAACATGGATCAGTTGAATAGATTTGTTTTTCTTGATCCATATTAAATTCTTCAATATTACGACAATTAAATAGGTTTAATAAACTACTTGATTGTTTAAAACATTCCATTAATCGAAAGTTATTCAAATAATTACTTTGTGACATTATAGATACCCAAGAAGAAATAAAATCATTGAAGTCGTTCATCTCATATGAAGTTTTAATTTGACTTTGATCAGATAAGGTTGATGTTGATTCACTAGCATGATTTAGGAGGATATTATTGTCGTTATTATCATGATCATTATTATTGTTTGTAATAGTATTCGTTTCGTAACTGTTCTTATTCAAATATGAATTGATAAATGTTGTAATTGTTGTTATATCCAAATTAGTCGGAGAATATATTGAATTATTGGTTGAACAGTTCAAATTTGGAGCTTTATCAGTTTGTGTAGATGTTAAAGTACAGTTATTCACATTATTAATGGTGTTTAGAATATTGTTAGTAGCATTACTAGCAGTAGTATTAGTAGTATGTTTACAATCATGTTGAGGAGGTGTATAAAACCAATCTTGATGTTGTTTTTGACTATGATTAAATAATTCATTTAATTTACTAGTATGATATAATGATGATGTTACGGATGAATTGTTATTGTCAATGTTTGAATATACTGGCAAATGATTCAATGATGTTAATGTTGAAGTGACAACTGTTGGCGGTGTTACTGATGTTGTTATCGGTGTGGAATTCATTGATGTACAACAAAATTTAATTAAATTTTTTAATCCGATAAATTGATATACAAATTTACGTCCATGTACTTTACGTATAATATTTTTTTGATAATAATAACGTAATGCACGACTTAATTTATCATAATTCATACGATGATTTTTATCTTTACGCATACCCCATAATTTGGCTACAATTTCAGCTTGTACTAATATAAATTCACCACGTTTATTTGTCCATCTTATTATATGTTCATATTTATTGGATAATAATAATTCTAATAAAAATTGCCATAATGTTAATTTACCATTACTTCCATCAATTTCAGTAGTAAACTAAACATTTTGATCGATTTTGTTTGTTTGTTTTTGTTTTTTTGAAAAAGAAAAAAAAACAGATAATTTAAATTACAAAAAAAAGTTAATTCGTATAATTTGTGAATGTTATATTTACAAAATAATAATAAAAATATTTCCCTGGTACGGCCGAGAGTAGAGAGAGTACGTTCTCCCTCTCCAAATGCTCTCATATGGCCACACGAATATATAGCCTCAGCCAGGGAAGTCCTACTCATTGCCTTCTCGTGGCAGGAATGTTGTTCACGAAAGTGAGAGAACAAAAAGTGAATATTCTGTGATTTGATTGGGTTGGTGGACATGGAAAGTCCACTAAGGTAGTTGGAAAACCCTGATTCCAAACCAATGGTGCACATGGGCTCCAGTATCCTGAGGGAACAAATGGCATATGAATCAATCGTTGGTCACCGGCTACCATGGGACTGCATCTCCTCACGATGCTCCACTGCCTTGTGGATCAGACCTTTAGGTCAAAGGCTTCGGGTGTGGCCCCCTAAAAAGACCACCTGTTTCGGTTTGGGCAGCTGGGAAGTATCACAACTCTCACTCAAATCAAATTAGATTGTGTTGCGCATCTATATCTTGTGCTCTTTTGTACTAATATTTATGTGTTTAAATAAATAAACACAAAGATATTTGTTAAAATGATTGATTTAATGTGGATGACTTTTATTGTTATTCATTATCATGAATGATTATGAATACCAATATAAAAGCAACTTAAAAACTAGATTACTTTCCTGTTTTTATTGACAGGTTTATAGCTAAGATCATATCTTACGTTTTCACAACGATTTAATAGAAAGAAGTTAAATATTGAGATTAATCCTGTTATGACTGCGTCGCCAATTTTCATATCTGGTCGTCGCTAATTGTTATGTTGGAATCGCTTATTACTTATATTTGTAAAACAAAGAACTACTGAAATTCTCATGGCGCTACATAAGAGCAACAAGACTGGTACAAGTGAAGATTTATTAAACTCAAAATATGACGACGATCCTATTCGAAAATATACTTGTTCATATATTAATTGTACACCCATTATGAATGAAATCACATATATGAAAAATATCCAGAGTTATAGTAAGTCACATGCCGCGTGTCATGCTGAATCTAGTTCATGTTAATTTAATACAAGAATATACTATCTTGAAGAAATATTACACTCAAATAAATCAATGTTATACCGAATAAAATATCACATCTGGAAACAAAACAAATACTACACTGAGTAATTATTACATTGAATTAAACATACGGAGGTAATGTTAAACAAAAATCACAATGAATAATATAATATAATTTTGCCTTTTCATCCCATCATGTCACCTCCTCTTCTTTTTATAATGGAATGTGTAAGAATAATTTTTCCGTGGAGAGTATTCTAAAGGTTACTGTTTTTTTCGTACTCTCTGAGATCTCCGCAGGTCACGTGGTCGTGTTTCAACTTCTAGTTCAGATCTGATCAGTTATTCGGTTAGAATGATATTATATGAATACAGATTCAAGGCAATTATTTTTAAGATTTGCGGTTTAAGGTACAAATAATATAATTTTGGAAAATCTTACTAAGGTTTCCTCTTTAGACCGAATAATATGTAGTTTTGATGTGTTTTGAGGTTGTCCGACTCACATACTGATATACAAGCTTCTTATACACTAATCCACCTAGCTACTTCAGTGAGAAAGAAGCTATATTGACTAAAACCAAAATGAAAATGTGTGTACAATTAGTCAATCATATACATCTTTCTTTCTTAGGAAATAAAACGCCTTTTTCACATTTACCTTCCACCTTATGTCTGATCAACTCGATGTATCAGGTTTAGATATGATGAAGAGAAATTTCTAAATTTAAACAAATATTTTTTGAAGTCACTATGTGGTCATTTACTAACTTCAAGAAAAACAGAATAAAAGCTATATGATATACTCTAATGAAAACTGTGGATAAATACAAATTCTTGATGACAATTAATAGGAATTTTACACTATACATGAATGCAAGACAACTAACGATATAAAATGAATCATATACTATGGTTTGAACACACCACAGGTTTTTGCTTCCATCTTGAACAGTTCATCTCGCAGAAAACTATTTCGATCCTGAATATGATCAATCTCTTTTCTAAAGATTTCAGACTATTTCGAATCTATTTCAATGCAGTTCAAACGATCATCTTAAAGTACATGAATTCATGATTTCCTATACTGAGCTGATCATTGTTTGTCCATGAAACATATGATCCGATATCGACGTACAATTGAATCTCGACCACAAATTTTGGTAGTGGTCAGCAATCAGATCACAATAAAAAATATTCCTTTTTACCTGGAAATTTTTACTTCGTCAGCCGGCATCTTATGGTCATCGTTTCATAAAAAAGGTCAAACACAGTCCTTTTATTCGAAAAATTCTATTTTCGTTACATTTTTTGAGTTGACAAAGACTTAAATATATGAAATCTGAATAAACAATTTCCGATTCAGAGACCTTTCATCTTATGTAGTTATTTTTTGTTGTTTAAATTATGCTACTTAAAACTTAGATAACAGCCAGAGTTTTATAACAAATAAACCTAATATTTAGTCATTAAAAATACGGTTCATTGACAGAAACGAATTTAAATATGATAAACAGCATCAACTAACTTAACTTTCCCAACAGATTCAGTTTGAGAATGTAGAAATTGTTAAATGTCATTGAAATCATGTGCCGATCTGAGTCAGACCTACGATGAAAACCTGGAATCACTGGACGTCCTTTTCGTCCCAGTATGAGATTCCCCAGCAATGCGCATCCACGACCACACATGTAGGACTCAAACACAGGATTTTCAGTTCAGTTCATAATTTAAATGAAATCCAACAACCTCCACACCCTCATACTGGAAATATCACGTAATCACTGGTGAATAGCTTCGAGAGGAAATTTTAAGAGTTCTAGTAAGAAACCGTGACCAGTCGGGATAATTACCTACACAAGACAATAGAAGATCGTCGCGCATTATCGAGGATTGATCGGAGTTAGACACTAACGACATTGGATATCCAGCCAATTGTCAGAAGGTTAAGCGTTCGCGTGAGTGGTCGAAGGTGTTGGGTTTGATTACTACGTGTGGAGTCGTATATGTGCACTGTAGATGAGTCCCATACTAGGTCGGAACGTCCGTGGGATGCTTCCAGATTTTCCGTAGTAGTCTAACTTTGATGAGTTGATAATCTCAGTGAAACCCAACAGTCTCCACAAAACCTTATTGATAAAATAACTAATTCATTTTTCTACAAACTGTAAAAATCCAATGTTAGCTCTAGATGAAAGGGTGACTTTTCCAAATAAGTATTAATTTAATCAGATAAATATCAAGAGATGTTGGACTGTTTCGAAAAAGTTCACCCAGACATTAAATTCACCAGTGAAGAGGAGAAAGACAATAGTATAGCTTTCCTTGGTGTCTTACTTTCTAGAAGGATAGACGATTCCATAAAAAGAAATTTATTTAGAATGAATACGTGGACGGGTCAGTATACCCATTTCCAAAGCTTCACACCTCTTCAATGCAAAATAAATTTGGTTAAATGTCTCAGCCACAGAATCAAGCTATTATGTTCTGAGGATAGCGTAGACGGGGAGATATATATACTAGATAACACATTAAGAAATAATGGCTATCCAGACAATTTCGTTATAAAATTCTTAGTAGAAAGTATTAATAAAAAAGAAGAGACTGTGACTTGGTCAGTAAAAAACCCTATATCTGAGAGTGTACTTTGAAGGGGATAAAAAGTTACTAAATCGGTCAACAGTAATATACTTTCTGAATTGGCAGATGGTGAATATGATATCAAAATGGAGGAAGCTTTCTCCGTTTTATACCAAGTCATAAAGAATCTACCTCAAGGAGGTAGATTACAGCTGCTCTGCATAGCCGAAGCCATCTGGATCAATTCCAGGAAACCAAAGTTATGTATCCAGAAAAGACCTACGGCTGAACCACCGGATACCGAAACTGAATATTACAAACCCCTTCCCTTCTTCCTTTTTTTGATTACCTCTATCTTAATCTGCACATCCATTATTCCCAATTCACGTGAATTATTTTGATCGTTATTACCTTGATAACACCCCTCTTATTACATATTATGTTCACACAACAATCTTATTATTATTACTATTACTAATTATCATTATTATCTCAATTGACAAGATGAAATTCTCCTGCTATAAACTTTATTCACATGATTTTTTGCATATTCTAATAAAAATGTCTTAGTATGGGGTTTCCCAACAGTGTGTACCTACGACCAGTTATCCTTAACGTCACTTGATAGTTGTAGCGCTATATCACAGATTGACTGAAGATGAAATCTTAACCTGTGGTTCTAGTGGTTGAGCACATGCAGAGTGAAATATCACAGTTTCTTCAAAAATATGTTTACCAATGAGTCAGTGGCGCCCAGTATTGATTAAATTCAATATTTCCTGAGAATTTCATACCATACTATGTATATAATAAAGAATAAAACTATTAGTATTAGCTATTAAAATAGTAATATGTCATGATGAAATTCATCATAGAACCGACTTTTTTACAGTCATCATCAAAATAATGGTTCGGCTTAACATGTTTAATTATTTTATAACCTTAGTAACTATGCCATCTATTTCAACAACTTAGTTTTAAAAAACCAGTCTAATTTCTACAATGTATAGATGTCGAGTTTCCTTCCCCTTTAACCTTCACTTCCCTGAATTCGATAGACAGACAGACAGAAAATTTGGTCTAACAAAAACTATCCTGTAAGATATACATATGTAAACACACATACAGTATACACCATATACAAGCATAACTACATACACGTACCTTTTGCTTCCGCCCGATTTTTGCCCTCCTTCCGTCTATTGATTTTTTTTTCAGGATACAGAGCGGAAGCAGTTAGAATTTATATAGGAAGATGGAAAACAGGGT